TATATATATAGTTCTAATTTATTTTTATCTCAATATATTTCAGTTTATTTTTATCTGAAGTGTATACACATTACATCAGGCCCGGATTTTACTCTCCTTATAGACTTTAACCTAAGTAAGTCACGTGGTATAACTTGTCAGGTATAAACACCAACAACTGGCGAGAAAGAAGCACGTGCACCTTATCATATCTTGGCACCCCTGTGTGTTTGTATATTCTTAGTGGCAGATAATTAACAAAATAATAGCGTGTGTATGTTGTTAGGATCGTTGGTTAGCACTTGAACTCGTATTGAGGTTAGTACCTGACGGCTGGTTTCTATAGAAACCAATGAAATATATTTACTAAGCTGTACAAATTCTAGACAGTTTGATGTTATTAGAAGAGGCTATACAAAACCGAAGTTTAAGGGCGCTGTTTCAGCCCTCCTCTCGTAAAAGGTGAACAAAGTGGCTTGAAGCGGTTTTACGTTGCTTTTATGGCCCTTCATGTTCCTTAACTCATCTAGTCAGTTACAATTTGGTGTAGCTTAAAAGCGGACTACGCACAGCTCCTCGGGAGTCGTCATTACTTTGCCGTTTGGAGATTTAAACGAAAAGATCAGACGTGTTCAAGCGATTCTGAGTTATATTACCGCAGAGCGTTATGTTGATCGTTATAGATTAGATTAAGTATTAGTGCTTGTTCACAAAAGGCTTTGTTTAGCATTTGTGCAAATGTCGTCTTAGGGGTTTGAGAGGTTTGGGTAGTCAGTGGCACTGTTCAAAAGCCTAGACAGTCGCGGAAACTAGTTGTAAAAGATAATAACTGTAAAAGAAACAGTTTCTGAGGGTAAGAAAATGTGCTACTAACATAAGCTTTCAACACTCTGACACCAAAATGAGCGTAGGTTGTCTCAAACTAAGAAAACGTAAAGATACCTGTATAGTGATCTCATATTTAGAAAGAAAAATGAATGTTTCTAAAACTAAGAAAAAGCGTACATAGTCTCTGAGACTACTAAGTAAAAGTTTTAGAAAAAAAAGTAGTCTTTGAGAATTAGGAAAATTCTAGGTAATCTTGGAGATTTAGGAAACTGTGGATAGTCTCTGAGATTTAGGAAAAACTGTAGGTAATCTTGGAGATTTAGGGAAACTGTAGGTAATCTTGGAGATTTAGGAAAATTGTAGGTAATCTCTGAGATTTAGGAAAACTGTAGATAATCTCTGAGATTTAGGAAAACTGTGGATAATCTCTGAGATTTAGGAAAACTGTAGATAAGCTTGGAGATTTAGGAAAACTGTAGGTAATGTTGGAGATTTAGGAAAATTGTAGGTAATCTCTGAGATTTAGGAAAACTGTAGATAATCTTGGAGATTTAGGAAAACTGTAGATAATCCTGGAGATTTAGGAAAACTGTAGATAATCTTGGAGATTTAGCTCTAAGATTTAGGAGAGATGTAAATAGTCTCTGAAACTAAGAAAATGGAATACTGTAACTAGTTTTTGAGACTGGAATAGACCATTGAATTCATCCTTATATTATACTCTGTTGTTGTTATTCTAAAAATATTATTCTTTTAACGCTTCAACTGATACCTAAAGAAAACATTAGCTCGCTTTAATTCTGCTTGGTATATTTGCCTTTAGTCTGTGATATAGGCTGTGATATTGAAACCAATATGATAAAACGTAAGCCAACGTAAAGATGCCCTCTATATCAAAGGAAGTTGCAGGAAACGGCTGTTTCGTGACCACCAATGAAAATAATTCTGACAATTATCACGTTTACTAATTTGAAAGTTGTAGTATTTCATAGACTTAAGTTGAACTGAGTCTTATGTTTATAAGTGTTTGTAATATTTAAAAGGCCCGGCATGGCCAGGTGGATAAGGCGCTCGACTCGCAATCTGAGGGTCGCGGGTTCGAATCCCCGTCACACTAAACATGCTCGCCCTTTCAGCTGTGGGGGCGTTATAATGTGACGTGTCAATCCCACTATTCGTTGGTAAAAGAGTAGCCCAAGAGTTGGCGGTGGGTGGCGATGACTAGCTGCCTTCCCTCTAGTCTTACACTGCTAAATTAGGGACGGCTAGCGCAGATAGCCCTCTTGTAGCTTTGCGCGAAATTCAAAACAAACAAACAATAATATATATAAAAAAGCTTATTCAATACATAATTTTAACACGCATACCTATATATATTAAATAAAATTAGAACTTCCTAAGCGTGTTAAATAAAATGGTGACAGCAGGAACTGTAAATATTATAAAAATTAGACATATACAGATCATCTGTGGTTTTCAAAGTTATTCTGTGAGTGTTTTATAAACATTCATCAACAACAATGGCAAATTATGTTACCGTCGTTAAGTGTGTTTTGTTTCTTTGAAGTTAAGCACAAAACTACACAATGCTCTGCACACCACGGGTATCGAAACCCAGTTTTTAGCGTTGTAAGTCCAGGGGACATACCGCTGTGCCATTGGGGGGCATTATAGGGTTGTTGTTTGTGATTAAGCACAAAGCTACACAATGGGCTATCTGTGCTCTGCCCACCACGGGTATCGAAACCCGGTGTCTAGCGTTGTAAGTCCAAATATATGATTGTCACAATATCACTTACATCGCTTGTTTTATTTGTCACTTTTAGTTAAAATACCAATAATGTTACGCTAGAATAATACGTCGGGCTAGAAACTGTAGTACGACGATGGTTTATATTTATTTGCTGACTACTCTTAATTTTTTAAATTTTATCTTACAAAATCTTCACACAGAGTTGAAGTTTGAGCCAACAAATGTTTAGCCACGGCACAGCGGCTCACAGAAGAGCTCTGACTTGTATTTTTTTCACGTACAAACTTTTAGCTCGTAGCTCCATCATCTCTTGATCGGTT